CTCCTCTGTCCCCGGGGCCACTGGATCGACACTTGGGCTTTCTGATGTCATCTCCAAACGAAGTCTCTGAATTTGGCTCTTACTTTTCTCCTCAGATCACGGTTTTCTGGAGAGAACTGATTGATCCAAGACTCATTGTTGACGCTACAAGTAACACCACATCAAGCACAGACCTTACCTAAGCCAGCCTGTCCACCTCAGTGTATACAGGTCTTGTTTATTTCTGAAAGTGACTATTACCAAACTTTTTTGAAAAGAGATTTGAAAATCGTATGCATTTTTTTTGTTGTTATCTTCACCTTACTGCATAGGAAGAAAAAAAAAATCTACCTCACTGACAAGAACATGGGTGTTGGTTTTGTGGACCTTCTGCCCCCCACCCCCCACCCCCAGTTTAACTTCAGTATCAAAGTTTAAATGTGACATTCCTGTGGGCATCATCATTTTACTACGGTGAACGGTTTCTTCTCTGTGACTCCGTGGACCAGCACGCAGCAACCGTCAGAGGAGCCCATACCATCGCCTACGAGAAAGCGCGGCCTGTCTCGTCTCGTAGGTCTTACTGCGTAACACGTCGAAGCTGTAAAGCATGCTACGATGTGATCCAATTTTTCGGAACAGTTGACTTGTTCCATTGAATCCGGAACACTTTCTAAATGTCAAGCATTTTATGCTTGCAAATGGCAAGCGTTCATAGGTGGTTGGATTTGTCGTCGGGATTGCATTAAAGAATACTCCCCTGCTCTTCTCGGTTTCTAAGTCACGGGCTTGTAAGAGCCTCTGTGAAGCTACGAGAAGACTTCTTGTGTGTGCCGAGGAAGCACTGGCGCTCTGCGTGGGCCGAGAGGGTCTGTTGACTGAGCTTCCGCCCAGGCACGAACTCCTCGCCACAAGACCCTGAGCGCCCGGCCCAGTGTGCTGGAGTGAGGGGCTCCAGTAGACACGTCCTCCTGGTCAACCCAAGCTCAGAAGGTTAAATATATTCTGTGTGTAGACCCCTCCTTCAGCTCTGCAAGCTTCTGAATAAAATCACACTGAGCTAAATGTCCATGTTGGGAATGGTGGTCTTGTTTTAGAGTAATGCAAGTGATTCCAGTTTTCCATAAGAAAAATTTTCCTTGACTAAAGAGTTTTGCGTATGGGCCAATGGAGTTATCAGTCCAGAGCCTTTGGACCACTTTTCACATGCACAGATGGCATTGTAAGTATCAGAAGACGAAGGTACCAATGCGTCACGAGAGGTGCTCCGAAAGAGGGAGGCCAAAGTGAATGAGGGGATGTTAGCACCGGAGTTCTTGGAAAAGAACGAGTAAGTATGATCTAGAGCAAAGGGGAGTGTGGGCCTCGGTGTTGTTTTCTCTACTTCACCATCTGCGCGTGAGTCACCTCTGCTCTACAGCCGTGTGTTTTCCACAGGAGTAAGAATCATTAGAAAGGTCATGAAGTCAATTTAGTTGGTCAGGGCCAACTTTCTGGAGTAAAACCCAACAGGACAGAGAAATAATAGTGCGCCACATTTAGGGAATTTCATTTGCCTTAGGGAACTCGTGCTGTGTGTTTACAACTCCAGGTTTCATACTGCTTACTTCTGACGGACATGGGGATACAGCCGTCATGTTACCCGCAGACTGGGCAACAGCTCTACCATCCTCCCCAGGAGTGAGACAGAGGGGAGAGATGAAAGCCAAGGTGCCCGGTGAGAGGTACAAGCCAGGGACTGGATCTGCCTCTCTGCTCCTAGACCGGTGGGTCCAGAGGCACTGTTCTAGATGAGGCAGGTAGCAAGTACTCACATGGCAACTAGCACAGCACTAAACAGCTCCTTTCAACTCAATATCGAAAATCTTGCCAGGGACAGCCAGCTAGTGGAGGGAGAGTCTGGTGTCCCCTGAGAGCAGTCTTCTTTTCCCTGGGCTGTTTCTGTGGTGGTCCCGGGCCTGCTGCATTAGCAGCAGTGGAGAG